GGATGTTTTTTATGTTCCAACTATTAGGCGTAATTTACTTTCAGTTTCAAGACTTAATGCTTTCGGTTTTCGATTTTCTTTTGGTGATGGATCAGTTACTATTCAATTACTATTCATTATGGTAATAATATAGTTGGACATGGTTGTTTAATTGATGGTTTATATAAGTTATTGTTGGATAATTCTCATGTACCTACTTCTTGTTTTTCTGTGGATTCAATACCTTCCGGATCAAAACGTGCTTTTATTATAGAGGATTCATCTATGTTGTGGCATAGGAGATTGGGGCATGTCTCTCGAAAGAGACTTGAACGCTTGGTCAAGGATGAGATTATAAAACCACTAAATTTTTTAGATTTTGATTTATGTGTTGACTGTGTGAAGGGGAAGATGCAGAAGAAACGCAACTTTGAGGCTAGTCGGTCATCTAGTCTTTTGGATCTTATTCACACAGATATTTGTGGTCCGTTTCCTACCGCTTCTCGAGGAAGACAAAGGTATTTTATTACCTTTATTGATGATTTCTCAAGGTATGCTTATTTGTACCTAATACACCAAAAGTCCGATGCACTTAACATGTTTAAGATCTATCAAATTGAAGTTGAAAACCAGTTAGGCAAAAAGATTAAAATTGTAAGATCGGACTGAGGTGGTGAGTATTATGGGAGAATGGACCAGGAGGGTGTGAATCATAGTCCTTTCGTCACGTACTTCAAGGAGCAAGGTATAGTGCCACAGTATACCACACCTGGTTCTCCTGAACAAAATGGAGTTGGAAAGAGGAGAAACCGCACCTATCAAAATGCTATTCGTAATATGATGAGCCATTCTTCACTACCTAAGAATTTTTGGGGAGAAGCTCTTAAAACGGCAGTTTATATTCTTAATAGGGTGCTATGTAAAGCAACCCCTGAAATACCTTTCAAGCTTTGGACAGGTCGTAGACCTAGTCTTCGACATTTGCATGTGTGGGGATGTATTGCGGAGGCAAAGTTGTATAATCCTGATATTAAGAAGCTTAATCCTCGTACTGTTACTTGTCATTTCATTGGGTATCCTGAGAGATCATTTGGTTACAGATTTTATTGTCCCTCGAGACCTTTGGAGATTGTTGAGACCAGTCATGCAAAATTTATTGAGAATGACGAATCTAGTGGGAGTTTGGATCATCGTATTTTTTATTTTATTTTTATAGAGGAGCAATCTTCTATGCCTATTCCATTTACTACAGATTTAATTCCAGCTTCAGTGATTCCATTCAGAGCTCCTAGTCCCACCCTTCAGCTATTCCTCGTATGCAGCCTCTTGCTTCAACTTTTATTCCACTTTCTAAGCCTGATCAACTTAGAAGATCTTCTAGAACTCGGAGATCCGCTATACCTGATGATTTTGAGGTGTATGTTAGTGAGGTTGACATTGGCGAGCATGAGGATCCAACTTCATTTAATGAAGCCATGGAGAGTCATGAATCTTCTAGTTGGATAGATGCTATGAAAGATGAAATGTATTCTATAGATGTTAATGGGGTGTGAGAGCTTGCTGATTTACCTACAGATCGCAATGTGGTGGAATGCAAATGGGTCTTTAAGACCAAGAGGGATTCACTTAGAAATGTTGATAGATATAAAGCTAGATTGGTGGCTAAAGGTTTCAAGCAAAAGCCAGGTGTTGATTTCTCTGAGACTTTCTCTCCAGTTTCATCAAATGATTCTTTGAGAGTCATTCTTGCTATTATTGCACATTATGATCTTGAGTTCCATCAGATGGATGTGAAAACAGCATTCCTTAATGGAGACCTTGAGGAAGAGATATACATGTCTCAACCTGAAGGTTTTGTGGTTAAGGGACATGAACATCAAGTGTGTAAATTAAAGAAATCAATTTATGGGCTCAAACAAGCTTCACGAAAGTGGTACTTGAAATTTGATGAAGTGATTACTAGCTATGGGTTTAAGGAGAATGTTGGAGACAAATGCATATATCTCAAGGTCAGTGGGAGTCATTTTATTATTCTTGTCTTATATGTTGATGATATTTTACTAGCTAGTAATGACATTCATGCGATACATGATACGAAGAATTTTTTATCAAGTCATTTTGATATGAAGGATATGGGCAATGTTGAGTTTGTCTTGGGTATTAGGATCCATAGAGATCACACGACAGGAACACTTGGTTTATCTCAAAAGACATATATTAATAAAATTTTTAAAAATTTTGGGATGGAAAATTGTGCACCTGGTGAGGTTCCAGTTGTAAAAGGGGATATTTTTTCAGAGGAACAATGTCCTAAGAATCAGATTGAGAAAACTAAAATTGATGTTGTTGCATATGCGTCTGCAGTTGGAAGTTTGATGTACGCTATGACGTGCATTAGACCAGATATTAGTTATATGGTTGAGATACTTAGAAGATTTTAGCAAAATCCGGGTATTGCTCATTGGAGGGCAGTGAAGAAAGTTTTGAGGTATCTTCAGAGAACAAAAGAGTTTATCTTAATGTACAGGAAATCAGATTGTTTAGAGATAGTTGGTTATTCTGATTCGAACTATGCAGGTTGTTCGAGTAGTAGAAAATCCACTTCTAGATATATTTTTATGTTGGCTTAGGGAGCTGTATTATGGAAAAGCTCTAAGCAATCTATTATCGCAGATTCAACTATGTATGCAGAGTTGATCAGTTGTTATGAAGTGACCAAATGTGCTATGTGGTTGAAACAGTTTATTGCGAATTTAAAGGTTGTGGACTCCATACACAAGCCTTTGATAATTTTCTGTGATAATGAAGCTGTCACAAAATATGTGAAAAATGAAAAATTGACCAAGCGTAATATGCACATAGATGTAAAGTACCTTTACGTGTGCGAGAAGGTTAAACAAGGTATTATTGAGGTTCCCCATATAGATACAGCAAGGATGATTGCAGATCCTCTCACTAAAGGTCTTCAGCCAAAAATATTTAAAGAGCACGTGATTCGGATAGGTATTCAAGAGTCATTATGTTATGATGTCTGATTTCTCTATTATATCATGTTACATTGTAGTTGTTTCTTTCAGTTTATTTACACATTCTGGTGACAGTTATTTGCATGAAAATAAAGTTATGATGCATCATTATTATTATTATTACATTGTTGTATATGATATGTGCACGTGTTATTCTTGTTACCTGAGAGTGGTATTGTACTCATGAAGTTGTTTGGGCTAGATGTGAAATTGGCACCACATTGGTAAATCCAAACATAACTACTAAAGTTTACATGTGGGAGTGTTAACGCTCTATGAGGATAGCTTGGGTTAGATATGAGATTGGCTCCATATCGGTAAACCCTCACACTGAACAGAAGGTTGGCGGTTTGCTGTAATATGTTCAGGTGACATACCGCGATGGTATGAAGCAGGACGGATAGTGAGGTGTGCGTTTAGATCACATGCAGTTTGCATATCTGATGAAGTACAGTAAAACCACTATATTTGCTTGAATCCTAGATGGAATCGGTTTTGAGACCATAGAACTGTTTAAACTAATATATTACTTGTCTACGCATTCATGATCCACTATTGAGGAAATTTATGGAGGACAGTGTTCTAAAGTTTCAATCCATCAATTTCGATAATTGTGTTTTCTAAATAAAAATGAGTGGCCACTCGACTTTTATAAAGTGTGTTGCAATCCATAGTGTTATTTTATAAAACTGAGAGTGCATGGACCAAGTGGGAGATTGTTGGAATTTATATATATATATATATAAATATATATATTTAAACAATAAAAATTATTTTATGGTCCTGCGCACTACGCTTTCTAAAGTAGGATTGCAATGTGATTATTGATACTTGATGGATTGGGTTTGTACTTTCCAATTTGGTGGTCTAATTGGGAGTATGGTTTTATACCGTTGGATTGTGGTTTTCCAACTTATTTGGTGTGATTTATTTCTAACCATTGATATCTAAGTTTCCATGATAGGAAGGGAGACTTAGATATGCTTGTTTATAGAAAAGTTGTCCCCCCCTATTGTTGTTATATATAGGGGTTTTAAAACCCTTATTCAGTCATATCGTATCGACAACTTTCAGAAGAGGGTAAAACGCTCTAATTTTTCAGATCTCTCAAATGGCACTAAGGAATTCTCAAAATATATCAAAAGTTTAATCTTCTAATCAGGTACGATATCTAAATTACTCTTTAATTAATTACAACTTGATTTCTACATGATTTTTATTTGAAATAAAACCCAACATATCGCACTTAAACTTGAATGGTCATTTGCTAGATTTAGCTTATTTACCTTCACTTGCACGCAAGTGTTTGATTATTTGATAAATCTCTCATTAATTGTAAATTCTATGAAGATGTCATGAGATTTCTTATTATTATGTACAGTAAAAGGGAGGATGGGATGTATGCTTGGATTGAGTAGATTTGTTTTGCGAAATAGAGTATATTGCTGCTTGGAGTAATAGCGCTTATATTTACATTTTAATTTGCTAAAATCTTGTTGCACACTAGTATTCGATAAAATGAACAATCTACGTTGTCTTTAGTTTGTGCTTTTTGATATTGCACTTGCATTGCCTTTCCATTAGCTAATTTTTTTTGGTGATTGATAAAATTAATTTCAATTTTTAATTTTAATTTTAATTTCAATTTTTAATTTAATTTTAATTTCAATCTTTACACAAATCTTTTAATCGGTTTATATTTGAGCACAAATCTCTCAATTGGAAAATTTCCTATAGTTTGCCAAAAGACCCAATTCTTTGGGCAACACATATGATAAAGTTTGTATACGAGTATCTAGGTTGACAGATTGGGTAAAGTTGCATTCTAGCACACAGCGAACAAATTTTAAAATAAGCAAGACCAATTCTCTCTTCGTGATTAGATATTTGGATATGACTAGGATGCAGAAATATAGAAATAGAGGCAAATGATCAAATATGAGATCGATAAGCAGTGTCTTTAAAATAATAGAAAGACGAAGCTTAGTTGTATACCTGAGTTAACAAAGAGCAACCAACTCGTTAGGCTCAAATAATAAGCCACATACCAACTAACAATCAGGTGAATGTTCTGAGCAGCAGAGCAGTACGTCGTTATTGTTTTCCTCCTGCCCGTGATCGTTGGCCAAACACCTTTCAAACGTCCTTAGAAAGTTGTATTCGATCTAAAAGTTTCTTCACGACCAAACTATATATATATATATATTACAATAACTCAGTAAGGATGTGATTATATTTGATATAAAGCTCATAACAGAGTGGAGAGAGGAGGAGATTAGGAACGTGACAGGATATATGGTCGAAAGTCTTTAATCGGCTTTGATTTTTCTTCCGGAAAATTAAATGGATGACAATTTTTGTAAAAGCGACCATGTTAAAAAAAAAAAAAAAAAAAAAAAAAAAAAAAAGGGAAAAAGAAAAGAAAAAGAAAAAAAAAACGTACATATAGGAACTTAACAAGAACTTCTTAAGTTGTTGAATGTTCTTGTCCATGTGAGTGCTTCAAAGTTACTTGTGGCACATTGAACGTTGTAATGGTCGTTAAGAAAATATATTGGAAAATGATTTATTTATGCCGAACCTAAACACATGCGCATAGGCCATTGTTCACATGCTTTGATGCTCGCTGGAATCCCTTTTGGGGCTACTTTTATGGTTGCTATATTTTCATATTTGACAAACTCTCAATACATTTGGGTCTAAATTGCCCCACCAATAATTTTTAAGGATAAATTTCACCTGCACTTCGTGACCTTTGCCAATATCTCACTTACACCCCTCCAAGTTTCAATATTTCACCTATCACCCCTATATGTGATGTGTGATGTGTAATGTGACGCCGTTTACTTTATTAATGGAGTTGTGCAATTTTACAATTTTTCCTATCAATTATATATTAATATTTATAAATAAATTTTAAATGAAACTAAAAGACTAAAAATAGTCTTTTAATTATTTGTTACCCAATTGCACACGTTACTGCTCTTGCCGAAGAAGTATCAGTCTGTAACAACCCTCACCCTTAGCAGACACAATATTGTCCAATTTTGACTCGATCCCTCGGACCAGAGACTTCTTAGGGGGCCACACATCCTAGTACTACTCCAGGTTAAGTACAGTTAACTTTGAATTTCTGGTGGGTTCACTGCCATCACGGCTTTAAAATACGTTGTGCCATAGACTAGTGTTGAATCTACATATACTACTTGCCCCATCAACACCTAGGCGAAGTGGGATTGTGCACCTGTAGCTCGCCTAGAAGGCCAAAGTGCTCGAGCCTTTTCCAAAGAGCTCGAGCATAAACCCCCATGGGAAGATAAAAAGACGCTTCAAAAATTCCAGTTGCTAGAGCTCGAGCCTTTCCCAAAAAGCTCAAGCAGAAACGAAAAAGCTCGAGCAGAAATCTTTCTGCTTGAGCACTCCAGCTAAGGTGATCGAGCACCCTGAAGAAAAAGTCCAAAAATATTCTAAGTGTTAATAGAAAAAGATACTTCGAAAAATAATTGGCTAAGTATGAAATTCCTGCTCGAGCCTTTCCCAAAAAGCTCGAGCACAGCCAAAAAAGCTTGAGCCAAGATTCTTTGCTCGAGCCTTTTCCCTTCAGGAAAACTTTTTAGTGTGGAATTAATTCTAATTAAGTCCCATTAAGTTCCAGACGGGCCTAGATGACCCCAGAAGACCTAAAGTCCATCCAACCATGGATAGAAGTCAGTTACTTCTATAAAAGGATGTGAAAGGCCATATGTAATGTTAATGAATATATATATATATATATATATATATATATATATATATATAATTATTAAGAAATATATTTTATCATTGTGGGACCCGCCACCACTTAGCCTTATGTAAAGACTTGAGGGTCATTAGCAGACCCTTGTTTTCTTCCTCTCTGCTACGTATCTCTCTGTCCCACTTGCTTCTCTTTTCTTTTTTTTTCGTCTACATAATTTAAGCTTGATTAATCTTCAACCACTTAGAATTTTTGGGTGCCGTTTGCGGCAAATCGGACACCACAGCGAGATCTACACGTGGGTGTAAACAATTCCTTGTTTGGCCAACTCTAGGGATTTCGAAATTTGGGCACAAAATTGGGAGTTTTCATAATTTTGGAGGTAGGGGTTCCTAATTCATACATTCTTGCACCTTTATGAATTATTCTTCTTGTTTGATGTTTAACATGCTACATTTGTGTTGATTTCTTTAAAATGATTTAATTATTGTATCATGAAAGATATGATTATATGTATGTGTTTATGTGTTATGAGAAATTATGCTTCAATGACTTTATTTCATGCCTATTATAATTTATGTGCTGAAATTATAACTTTGAAGCATGATGTTAAATTTTAGAGATTTCTATAAAGCATGGATATTGTGAATGTTGATTTACAAAGAATGAAATTCTTTATTTTTATGACATTGTGAAACAATAAGCATCCATACACGAATCGGGAAAAGAAATGGGAACATGATTTTGAAAGAAATGAAAATAGGCTTTTGGCAAAAGTTTTGAAAATAATTTTGCAAAAAACCCGGCCGCCTAGGAGTTGCCTAGGGACCGTGGCGTTAGTGAGGCCTAGAGGGGACTAGGGAGATCTCCTTAGTGTGGTTGAGTTACCTGGGCCCCAAATGATACCATAGAGTTGCCATGGGTCAGGGACAGTAGCCAATCATCCTCTCGTGCCACCATGGAATTGCCATAGGATGGGTTCACTAACGGTTTAGAAATGATGATGGAAATGGTTTTGAAAAATGGGGAGTGACATTGCATGGCATGGCATGGCATCTCATTACATGGCATATTCATTTGTGGTATCGGAATAATGATGTGGTATTATGGTTATATTTGTTATTCCCGGCATGGTATGATCCCAATTTCCTTATTCCTATTCATTATGATGTGGTATTATGGTTATATTTGTTTTTCCCGGCATGGTATGATCCCAATTTCCTTATTCCTATTCATTATGTAGATTCACGGGGTCTCAAGAGGTGTACCTTAGGCACCTCCTACTGAGTTTATGATCACCCCTTAATTTTAACATTTTTTAGGATAACGGGAAAGAAGTGGCGGATGATGTTCCACCACAGGCCTAGTATGGATTAGATGATTATTTTATTATTTTAATATCTAAGTCCCACTATTTTTGTAAAACTTAGCACATTATTCTGTACTAAGACTTATGGACTCTTGTTATTGTAATTATATTTATGGGCTGTAACTTTAATATAAGTTATCTAAACATTGTAAGACACAGACTTTTAATCTTAGCCATGTTTTTGGGACTGTAATTATGATATTTGGATTAAATGGTATGTGGTTGTTGTACCATAAAATGAATTCTATTGAGGCATAATGAATGGATCAAAGAAATGTTGAAATGTATTATTTGTATTGTGCGTTGGGACATAATAGATTAGTTTATGGCCAAGTGAGGCCATTATATATTTTTTTTATGCATTTCAACAGGTTGTGAAAGGACCCCTTTTAGCAGAGGTCATGCCGAATTTATTTATTTATTATTTATTTTTTTATTTATTTTTTTATGATTGGTATCATTTTAGGGTCGTTACATAATAGAAAAGAAGTTCTTCTCTCTTGCAAATAATTCTAAATCTAGTAGCAGCTTTTAAGGTTTTTGGGATATTCTCTGAAGAATTGAATACGAAGATCCACAGAAGAAAAGTGCAGTCTATAATGATGAAGTCTACACCAACAAAGATGATATATTTCATCATCATGAGTAGCTAAATCCTCTCTTAGGGCATTAATGTAACCCGAATTCGATTATTGTGGTTTGACTGTTCTATACTTTGGGATTTTATTATTATGTGTAATTGATTACATGATTTTGAACAATTGACTTAAATCTTCTAAGCAATTGGGATTTTTATTAAATAAATTAGTTTTGGATTAAAAAAAAATTAAAAAAAAAAAAATACATTGTCTTAAATTTAATTCTTCTAAAACCGAATTCAACCTATTCTTATTGTGTGAGATTAGCGGCTAAAGGTTTCTCAGACAATAAGAATAGAGATCATAAACTATTTTTGTGAATGAATGTTTTCATAATCTATGCCTAAGGAAGATAGGTTATACTGCAAAATTAGTTTGAAGTAGGTAGGTAGATAATTTGTGCCGCCCGAAAATAGGTTATAATTAACTGCAATTCATGATTCATCTTTTTTTAAATTGAATTAAATGAATGTTATTGAGTTTAATTCTGAATTATACATAATATTGAAATCCCAAGGTTAAGACATGTAACGACCCAAATCCACTGGATTTGGATCATTAAATGGGTCGTTACCCGACCCAAAATCATCCAAGGGTAATATCGTCCTTTCACGTTAAATTTGTATATTAAAGTCCAACAAGGGTAAGATGGTCTTTGTCACAATTCTAATGGTATGAGACTCAAAGGGTATAATGGTCATTTACTTGTGTCGCATGATAAATAAGATAAAGTCCAGGGCAATATAGTTTTTTCGATAGTTAAAATATAATTATTGTATTTTACTAGGCCTTATAATGTGTGACAATACACTTGAGTGAATGGATAAGGGCAAAATGGAAAAATAAGCCACAAATATTTACTACATAGGAACCAGTCAACGTAAAAAAAATTTCACGTCGACTGAGTTAAGACGTGTACAGCAAAAAAGATCACTGCCACATACCGGTCAACGTGTGGGAATTTCACGTCGATTGGTTCAGGTCATTCGGTTAACGTGTAGGAATTTCACGTCGACTGGTTTTGGGTTATACACACTCAAAATGTTCACTGTCCTAAAGAACTAAAATATACCGACATTGATAACCAATCACCCAGCACCAACACACCCACGTATATATTTTTATACATTTCAGCCATTAATACAAAAGCAACAACAACAGTGTTAACATAATTTATAACACATTACATAAAATACACTAAAGGATTTAGTGTAATTAAACTTAATTACATTATCCCAATGGCTATATACAAAATGAATCAAATACTTCACATGCTGCAAAATGATACATTTTGGGTCAACACTTTACAAAATGAGGCCTAAATTCAAAAGATAGCAACAGAGACATTCTTCTAATCCAAGCTAAGGTTGTGGTGGATTGTCGTCCGCCACTTCTTTTCTCGAATCTGAAAATGTTAAAATAATGGGGTGAGCTAAACGCTCAGTAGGAAGTGCCTAAGACACACATCTTATAACCCTGTGAATCACGTAAGGAATAGGTAAAAGAAAATGGGATCATACCATAAAAGGTACATGGCAACAACTACAACGACAAGTATATAACAATTCTCATCCAAACACATACACACCATATATTCTAATGAAGTGCAACGTCATGTAAATGTCGCTCCCCATATCCGAAACATTTCCATTTTAACATCCAAATCGTTAGCGTAATCCGACTCAAGGCACCTCTAAGGCATCACGAAAGAAGTGTTACCCAAGAATTGACTCAAGAGGGGGGTGAATAGAGTCAATGGCCAATTTTCGCAAATTATGTAAATACAATTTCTAATCAATAGTATAACTAATTATGCAATAAACAAGATATGAAAGTAATTAATTTAGCACAATTG